CCTTTAAACTGTAATCTGGCACATTCTCAGGTGAATAATCTGCCCATTCCTGCATTAAGAGGGAATTGTTGACAGAAATTCTTGGTCCTGTGATACTGTGAAGGCAGAAAATATCATCAGTATGTAAATCAGGGATCTCCAACTCCAGTCCTCGTGAGCTACTGTCCTGCAGCTTTTAGACGTTACTGCAACACACCTGATTCACATTAATGGATCTCCAACAGCTTGTTGTCAACTTCTACACAAGTCTGTTAATGAGCCATTAATGTGAGTCAGGTGTGTTGCAGTGACGTCTAAACCAGGGATGGGCAATCCTGGTCCTCACGGGCCACAATCCAGCATGTTTTAGATGTTTCCCTCTTTCAACACACCTGATTCAAATGATCAGGATCGTTATCAGGCTTCTGCAGAGCTTGATGATGAGCTGATCATTTGAATCAGGCGTGTTGGAAGAGGGACACATCTAAAACATGCAGGATTGTGGCCCTGGAGGACCAGGATTGGACACCCCGGTCTAAACCCTGCAGGACAGCAGCTCACAAGGACCGGAGTTGGAGATCAATGGGTTAAATAATAAAACAACCTGAGACAACTGAAACGTCTGCACCTTTGGACTGAGCCAAGAAAACTGCAAAGACAAACCTAACAGTTGTTTAGCATTTTATAAACATACAAGACCACAGAGAAGCGATAAATTCACCTAATTTTCTGCAGAAAATTTTTCAAAAGTCCTCAACAGAGCCTCTGCCTGCACTGAATATTAATGATCTGACATGCAAACACACACACACACAGTTGGTTTCACTTTTTCTTTCTGTTTCTGTCTCCATTTTCTTCTGTTCTTGACGTCGATCCCTCAGTCGAGCTGAGCAGCGTCCCGAGGCTCAGCATGTCTTCACGCTTCCTGGCCAGAGGACATAATAACAGGTACAGCTGACCACTTGGTGCGGACTCACAGCTATAATTACAAACCCGCGTGGACCGTCGCAGGCTGCTCCGCTGATCCAGCCCAGCTGTCAGTGGGAAATGACATCGTTAGCGCTCTGTTGGGTATTTTAGTGTGTGAGGAGTTTGTTTTTCATCCTCTGAGGTTTTTATTTTTACTCTGAATGTGTACTGAGACTTCTTACGGTAGAACACTGTTTATAGTTTGACACTAAAAAGTAAACAAGAAAAACTAACGCAGCAGTTTGCATCAATCTTTTTTAAATTATTTAAAACTCTATTGAAATTATGTTCAACCAACAAACTGCACTCGGTTAAAGGAATTAGCTTCTCCTTTTTAGTAGCATAAACACAAGCTTTTATGTTGATTACTCGTAAAAATTAAGTCGTTCTAACTTGTATTTCCATGTTACTTAAAAGAATATTTTAATTGTTGTGTACGAAATGACTTAATTAAGTTTTAAGACTGCAGATTTTAAAAATTAAGTCATCGGTAGGTTGGAAAGAAAAGGTTAGTTATAAAGCCAATTTTATTACGTTACCTCAACTTGAATTAAGTTTTAAAATCAACTAATGCAAACATTTGAGTTTAAATTACTCACAGTATTAAGTTGAGCCAACAAACGTTGATGCCAACACAACCCATCATTTTAATGTTTGCAACTTAAAAAGCTTTATCTAAAATCTAAATCTTGCAGCCGTGCTTTTTTCCCTCAAACAAGTGGTGTCTTTATTACTTTTTAGATTGTAGGAAGAGATTCTTCTTATTTGCTTTCCCATGTCTGCATCAAGCAGCTCTGTGCAAAAGTCACACAATCTGCTTCCGGGCACCTCTAAAGCTCATTAATTAACATATATGCAAATGCATATGTATGTACATGTATAAGTAGTACAGAACGTCCTGTTTACTTGCTGCTAAGCTAACTGGCTGCAGGTCGAGGCTTCATTTTAACCTCACAAACGTCAGCGTGAGGTCAAGTTTCCCATCCAGCACATGGCAGATTTCCCATCAGGGCCGTCGCAATGTCAGATTTTCATTACAGGAGTGTCACGCTAAAAGATTTAATGATGTCACGATAATGTCTTTAGGAAATTTGGAGGAGAAAATCAAAGTAGTATTAGTTAAGTAGATACTGTTTTCCTTCTACTTTTTTCTGTTTTAAGACAAGCGGTATGTTGGACTGTCAGCTAGATTATTTCTGATATTATCATATGTGTAATATCATCACGATCCCAACACTTCACTTTTTAAATAAGACAGTCCCTGTTCATACCTGTCTTCCACAACATCGACTTTTTCTTTTGGCATATTTGAGGCCAATAACTTGACTCACCTACTTCTCTCTTTCTAGCACGAAGTCGCTGTTTGCCAAAGTGAATGAAAAAGAGCAAAACAGTCTCTCTGCGAAACCTCCGGTGTCGAAAGTACGACCTTTAATGGAAGCTGGCGAGAGCAGAAGCACAGAAGATAAGAATCCAGTGTCTCCTGGAAGGACCGACAGCCCGAAGTAAGAAAACACAGTCGAGACAAGGAGCTGCATGGGGTTTATTTTTACGTTTTTTGAATCATAAATGAAGAAGCTTCATTATCATTATTTCAGTATGTCGATAATGTGCAGTTTAGGGTCACACAGGGCTGAGATGCTTCGTTATTTTTGTTGACAATCCGCACATTTCCTGAAAATATCGAGATAGAAAGTAAATTGAAAGTAAATATTGTCATGCAAAGTAGGAACGTTCTTAAAGAAATGTTTAAAAAAATGTTTTTAAGATGTTATCTCAAAAGGTTTTTATCTATAATGTGATGTATTAATAAAGGCAGAATGTTTAGCCTGCGATGTTCTCAAGATGTTTTGAGGAACACATTACGAAACGTTCTTCTGTGAAACATTAACACAAGAAAGGATGTTTTAAGAATATTCGAGCAAAACACTCTAACAATGTTATCACCAAACATTTCTAGAACATCTTTAGCTTCCTTGTCTTTAAGAAGAACATTCTGGGAACTAAAATAAAACTTGAAACATTAGCAGAACTCTGCTTGTCATCGAGACCTCCGGTGATAGAACGTTCTGCAATGTGACATAAATAGAACGTTCTCGATGCAGCATTTTCTTTAAGAATGTTCAGGCCTAACAGAACGTTTAACAGAACATCTGTAGTTACACCTTTAAGAAGAACATTGTGGTAACTAAAATAAAACCTCCAGCTGAAAACACGACTAGAACTTCCTCAGAAGTCGCTGTCTTGCGTCTCAGCAGGGCTCCGGACAGAGACTGTTCCCCGACGGTGAGACCGCTGAAGAAGAAGACGTCGGGTTCCCACCTCTGGAGGTTGTCCAACCCTGTGTCCAGATCCTTGCTGCTGGACAGAACGTCGGGTCTGCAGAAATCCCACTCGGCCCAGAACCTGTCCACAGACTGTAAGCTCCGTCATCATTCAGCTCGTTTAAACTCACATGTTTGCTGCCATTTCTGTAATATTTGGGTCTGACTTTTCAATTAACTGCGCTGCGTGACTGTGATGCACTTAATCTGCCTCCAGAGTGTTTTTAAACATAATTTGCTCCACATTTTCTTTCAAATACACCAAATTAATCAGTGTATTTTTCTCTGCTTTGAAGTCATCTAAATGAATTCATAAGAATTTGGCATGCATAATTGAAGGCGCCTCTATTTTCTTGGAACAAATCGGTTTTCATCTCCTCCTGTTTCTGCAGCTCCTCGCTCCCCGGTGCCCTCTGCTGACCGGAGGGAGCTTCGCAGGAGACCTCAGCAGCTTCTCATGGACCAAGGACCTTCCTTCCACTTGTCCTCGCCCTCCTCCGGGTCTCCACAGTCCCCCCAGTCCCCGCTGCCCTGGGACAGCCCCAAACTGAAGCCCCAGCACTCCTACATGAACCCCACGGCCAGCTCCATGGCCAAAAGCAGCCGGTCCTCCTCCCTGGGTGACGGCATTCAGATGGGAACTCCCCCTTCCTCCCCCAGCCTCTCTAAAGCCTGCAGGCTGCCTGAGGAACCTCCTCTGCTCACCTCCTCTCCATCCACCGCTTTCCCACCTTCTGTCTCGTCGGCAGCGTCACTCTTATCTTCAGTCAGTCCTTCCCCATCTCCTCCTCCTCCTCATCCCACAGCTACAATTTCACCTCTCGCCCAGAGCATCCCTCCCTCTCGCATCCCGCTGCCGAAGCAGCCGCTCGGCCCTCGACGCAGCCTCTGTTTGGAGGTGAAGCCAAGCTTGTCCGAAGGCGCCACGAGGGCTTCGACTCCTACAGCAGATCCTGGATGTGAAGTTACACCTACAGCAGGACTCAAACAAGGTCGGGCAGCCTCACACGTCATCCACATTACGTACTAAACAAAGTTTTAAAAGTCTCACATGACAGAAACATGAATCGATCCACATATGCAACCTGTATCTGGCTCGGCCCACTTTTACATTCTGCTTGTTAAAAATAACGATGGTTCATGTAGAAGCTGTGAACTAGTTCTCTGCACAAACGAGGGATTCAGACTCGAAATGTAGGAGCACAGCTGTACGTAAAGACTTGTGTTTGTTAGGGAGGGTGACACCTGGCTAAGGAGCTGATGTGTTTTTATCTTTTCAGCACGAGGCAGGAATCTGTCTCTGACTCTGGATCTGCCAAGTTTTCTGCCGGTGAAGCAGAAAAGAGACTCGATTACTGAGAGGTACGACTATCCAGCCACAAACAGCTGCATCGTTAGTCCTAAGAGCTTCAGCAGAAGGCTTCTCTTTTAGGTTATTAAAGATGTTTCTGCAACAGAGGTACAGAACTGAAGAAGCTTCCTGAAAGAGAGGTGAAACATCTTCAAGAACCTAAAACAGAAGTCCAGTTTCTTTCTACTTAAGCTCCTGGGATCACCATGACCGGGATGACTGACAGTATTTCTGTCCTAATCTATCATTTCATGCATCAGTGTTGACATTGCGGCTGTAACTGACGTGTATTTCTGACATTTCCTTCCAGTGTCGTCGCTCCAGGTCAGGTGGCTGCAGCTAAAGAGCGCCCTCTGGTGCCTGAGCAGCCCCAAACGTCGAGCCTCCAGCCAGGTCTGGCCTCCATCACTAACCCTCCTCCTCCTCCTCCTCTTCATCATCACTGCATCTCTTCATGCTGCTCTCCTCCTGCCTTCTGGTCTGTCTGTCAGTCTGCTTGTCAGTGTCACGTCCCTCCGTCTGTCTGCTGTCAGTGCTGTGATTACAGTGGTGAGTCCACACAAGAAGGGAAAGTTTCTAGTCTTCGCTTTGGTCTGTGTGACGTTAAAGAGCCCATATTATGCACATTGATGGGTTTAAAATTATGTTTTTTGCACCTAATTGGATATTTTTTACATGCATTAATGCCCAAAAACACTTTATTTTGCTTTATTTGGCGGTGGCAGCATCACGATGTGGGGAATTATTTCACATTACTTGGGCGAAAGAGTCTTTCTTGTCAATTCTTGTTGGAGAAAATCCATTTTATAGGCTGTATTTGATTATATTCTTCAAGAAAACTTTGAGTTGCCCTCAACAAGTCCAACTTTATTTGAAGCTCTTACTGATCGTAGCTGTCGTTTCTTTTAATTTCTATGATAAACTAAAGCAATGATTGTCATTAAATTAGCATATTTCACATTAACGCTTCCTTAAAAGATGGACTCCCTTCCATTCATCTGTCCCATCTGTTTACAAGTTATTCTTATTTTCTAAGACGAAGCTGACGGATGAAGCTGCACACATTAATGCTCCCTAGTTTAAACTGTGAAGCACGGCGGTGGCAGCATCATGATGTGGGGAATTAGTTCACATTCCTTGGTCGAAAGAGTCTTTCTTGTCAATTCTTGTTGGAAAAAAGCCATTTTATAGGCTGTATTTCCAACTTTAATTATTGCTCTTACTGATCGTCGCTGTCGTTTCTTTTAATTTCTAAGATAAACTAAAGCAACGGTTGTAATTAAATTGACATATTTCACATTAACGCTTCCTTAAAAGATGGACTCCCTTCCATTCATCTGTCCTCTTCTGTTTACAAGTTATTCTTATTTTCTAAGACGAAGCTGACGGATGAAGCTGCACACATTAATGCTCCCTAGTTGAAATCTGCACTTTACTTAATGAAAGCAGAATGTTTTCCCCACGCCGCTCACTTGCTCAACTAAGTAGATGCATCTAATAGATTTAAAATGCCGCGGTGACACCGCCGATAACTTCATCCTCTCCGTCACACTCCTCTCCCGGCTGCTGCGCCGATGATAACAGCCTCTGGAAGGCAACAAATTGTTTTTGATTTCATTTCAATTTGAGCACACACACACACAGAAGCCATTAAGCGATATATCTCGTCCCCGTTTGTACCTACGACTGCGTTTCGCCCGAGGATACAAACTGTGAAATCACTTTTTCTCACTTTCACGGCTCACTCCGTCGAAGCTTTTTGTGCCTCCTCCTGTGTGTGTGTGTGTGTGTGTGTGTGTGTGTTTTTGTCTCTCTGGTTTCTTTTCTGATACCTTTTTCTTTTTCTCGAAAGCTCTTCAACCTTTCGCTCAACGTTTACTGTGCGCCTACTTCGCTCGATAGCAGCGCGTGTTTGTTCTTCACATGCTGAGCTATACTTGAAACTCCTTCTCTCTCTCTGTCTTTTTTTTTTCTTCCTCCTCAGATCACTCAGTCACCTTGGAAACCTGCAGACAGGCCATTACAGAGCTTCACAGCAGCCTGAGGAGAACCGTCGACCTCTACACGACGGTCAGTGAGCGTCTGTACATGTGTGTGAATGTTGTCTCATGGATGTCAGAGAGGAAAACAAAGAGACTAAGAGGGGGAACAGATACTTCAGATGTCTCGTTTTGTCCAACTAACAGTCCAAAGATTTATGATAAGAGAAACTTTTTTTAATCCTGGATTTTTTTTTCTGTCAATATTCCATAAAAACATCAGGAAACAACCTATTTCTAAACAAATCTGCTGTAAAAGTACCGTTTTTTAAACATTATATTACAAGAATCCATTTTTTCTGACAACATTTTCCATTTTTTGAACAGTGCAGAATGTTAATTTAGTTGCGGTCAGTGAAAAAACACACAATGAGGTCTGTTTGCGTAGGTAGATATATGAAGTTGGAAATTCTTGTGCCAGATGTTACACAGAAAAAAACAAATGAAGAGAAAGAAATGCAGCGCCTCAGTGTAGAAAAGCAATAAGTACGATATATTGCTAAAATAAAATAGAATAGAGCAGTACAAACTAATGCTGGTAGTTATATGGGGGTAATAATGAAAAAGGGAAATTAGATATTAAACTGCACCTAAAAAGACAAAGTGAAATATTGCCCATATTGACAATTTGCAGCTGTTTCTGTCAAACAGCCCCGAATATCTCTGACTACATCAGAACAAACCAGTGTAAATATAACTAATTACATAATTTATATCTTAGAAAAACAACTCCAAATCACTATAAGATCTACAGCTGAAGTCCATAGATGGGGTTAAAATAATTAGAATTCCCATTTCTTGATGCATTAAAGCGAGAATTAGTCGAGTTTAGCTCCAATATTTATATCAACACAACGACAACAAACGCTCAGAGATGCACAAAATAAAACATATGAAACAGTTAAGACTGTTTATTTTTTTTTAACCTTGTGAACATGCACATCACAAGCGAAACAAACCCTCATGAAACATTCCAACAACGTTCTCAGAAACACGGATGTGTCCCAGTTGCTTATTTTGTACATTTCCACCAACAACAGGTGCTTGAGAGCAGCCAGCAGCCCAGCGAGGACCAGGAGCAGATGATGAGCATCCTGTCTGAAGCCTTGTTCACCGTTAAGTCTGAGCTGGACTCGGTTCCTCAGCCGGCCCCGCAGCGCAACGGACCCGAAGACCAGAACCAGGAGGCGAAAGGCGACGGAGACAAGACCCTGGCTCTGCTGGAGCAGTACGCCGAGCTGCTGCTCAGATCTGTGGAGAGGAAGCTGGACACCAAGAGCTGACGGGACGGACGAGCTCAGCAGCACTGTGGTTCACACGCTTGTTATTTGCACAGAGATCTTTATGTATCGGCTGAAATCAGACGTGGTTATGTTTGTAGAAGATGAAAAAATAGATGCTGAGTTTATGCACTGAAAAAGAAGACGTTGCCTTATTTTGAAGTTGCCATATAGTTCTTCTATTCACATGAAGAGCAGAGGAAGTAGATGCAGCTGAATGAAGAGTGTGTGGTTAAAGATTGCAATGAGAGTTATTTTCAAAAAGCTAAAAATGTAGTTTTTTAATCAAATAAAAAGGTTTTATGCTCCTGACAGTGTAAGATAGTGTAAAGTTTGTGCTCGACTTGATATTCCTGCAGATTTATGCAGAACGATTGCTCTCATCTTTTCCAATCTTTGACCTTTTTATATATGTTCAAACAGAAAAAACTTAATTTGTCTGCGTTTTTCACTAAATTAACCTTTTAAACTGTTCATCTTGTTTTAAAAAATGGATTCTCGTAATATGATGTTTAAAAAATCTGTACTTTTACAGCAGATTTGTTTAAAAATAGGTTATTTTCCTGTGTTTTGTAGATATTTTTACTTAATACTAACAGAAAAGGATAAAATAAATGAAAATGACAGTGTATAATTGGTTATATTGAGAGCTGTACAGATGTTTCCTCTGCTGATCCTGTGATTCACGTTTCTGTGCCATTCGTCTCCTCCTTGCTGCAGAAGTAGCTGTAACCTTTGGTGCAGTTATTATTCTACAATATGCAGTAACACTGGTTTACTTTTATTAGTTTATGTTCTATGTGTTTGTACATTTTCTACGTCTCTGAAAGAGATTTTTCTCACGTGTTGCTGTCGTACAGTTTCAAGTCCTCTTAACAATAAACAGTTAAAACGTCCGACCACATGTCTCACTGGTCATTTTATTAAAGAATCACTACAGTTAATAGAAACCTCACAGATGTTTCTGACAATATCGGTACATTTCTCAGTTAGTAGGTGATATAGAAAGTATCGTACACAATAAATACAAAAGCAGTAGCGTGAGAAACAAGCACCCTGTGTGTATTAAACAGTTAGTTGGAGCTCAGCTCATGTCTTTATTAAAATCACACAACAAACCAACATCATGATGAATGCATTGGAAAGTTTTAGTTCCATATAAATGAAGTGTGTGTGTGTGTGTGTGTGTGTGTGTGTGTGTGTGTATTTCTGCTACACACTCTTATTGGTGTGTTTCTCATGGCAGCGTCTCCACGTTGATGTAGGTGAGGACGACGTCGTGCAGGATGTTGATTCTGTCGATCTGGTTGAGCTCTCTGATGCGGTGACGGAACTCGAACATGGGGATGTTGTTCACGGCCACCCTGAACGCCTCGGGGGTGCACAGGACCTTCATCTGCAACACAACAGAGCGTTAACAGTGTCGCAGCGCTTCCAGCGAGGCGGTGACGGGCTGTCAGACATGCAGAGCCCACGTCAGTCACAGCTCTGGTTAAACGCTGCGGAGCCAAGTCTTCACCTGGCAATCCAGAACAATCTAACTCATGCCATACAGTGTCTAGAAACAGTGTTCACCCCCTTTGGAAGTTTT